CATACAAAACAAAAAGCCACTATTGTATAGACAGAAAGAGTTTGTCTTCTCTCTTGGACTCCATTGGTAATTTTTCTATTGGCACACAGCACTGATTGGACAACTATACTTGTCTTGTGCTTGCGTTTTTCTGATTGGCCTATTTTGATCCACAAGTGGGTATATATTCCTCATCATTTCTTTCGGGCCCTAATTCTGACGTTTTATGCTCTGAGGAGTGTCAGACAAAAAACTTTTAGCCAATATATTATCAAATCTTTGCTTTTTTCAAAGCCATTTTCAATATAGCATTTCTAGCACCAATCAAACTAATCAATAATTTGGTACTAAAATATGCAATTAATGAAATATGCTTTGATGAAAATTTTTGTAGAACCCTCCACAACTACCAGAGAGAAGGCAAATCATAGGGCTGCCAAATGTTGACTGGATGCAGTATTTGACATCAGCTGATTCACTGAAGTATGAAAGTGGGAACCAGATCAGCACAAGGAGAAGCTTTCGTACAAAAGGTTTCATTTTCATTCATTTTCTATTTTTGCTTATTTATCCTAGTATGTTAAAATTTAGCTGCAGTATATATAACCTTGTTACAACCAAATTTTTTAAAGTAATTAATATAAAAAGAAATATAATTCTATTTTTCAATGTTTTAAAAAATGCACATATTTACAAAAAATAGAAATAACTGGTAGCTGATAGGGGCCAGACGATTTCTAAAATGTTTTGATGAAAGTTCCCTTTACAGTTCATTATTCAACGTAATGTCAATAAAATGAGTAAATAAATTTAAAAAAATACCGAATGAAATAGACTATGAAAATTGAGATTGAGGACACGCTCAAAACGTGGTTTTTTAACAGTCTTTTTCATTTTGGTGCCTAAATTTTTACTCGCTATATTGTTGCTATTTAGATAAAGTACCACGGGCAAGAGACATATTTTATTGCATTTTTCATTTAAACTTGCATGTCCCAAAGCAAGTTTATTTTATTGCATGTCCCAAAGCTTGGTATCATAAAAATAGCAAGATTTCTGTATATTGCAGCTATTTATTATATGGAGGTCAGGCTTAGTATCTCAGTTTTATACAAGCGTCATGAAATATATTGTTCAGTTATAATGGTGTCATGGACTGAAAGGTCACTATGCCTTTTGCTATAAGCTTTAGATTCATCAGCCAACCTAGTTCATTGAAACAAGCTGTGGCGAGACAGTCATATGGTTGACTAGAAACAGTTCTAGCTGATTTGTTTTGGAACCTCTGCAAGGGTTTGATCATTGTTTCACACAGAAACTCATAACTGCTTTGACATTATTTCGGTTTTTAGAGTAAAATGAAGATCCATGCATTATGTGAATTTTCATATCATTTTTCATTCTATTCATATTTTGGAACTAGTTTTTGAATGCTTAGAAATGTCATGATGTATGTTTTAATAATCTGAGTGACTCTAACATGTATAGAATATTCTGATTTACTCGCTCCCCGTAAGATTATATTTGCATAATGTGGCATGAACGAACTAAATTTGTAAACCCTCAGTAGATCTGCAACCCAAAAGAGATGCATTTTGCATCGCAACAAGTGAAAGCAAAGCTTAGTGAGTCTAGGCCGCTGTGATTAAGAATAATGGTAATGAAACTATTATGAAACAGCTTCCTCTTGTTGATGTCACAGGCGACTCGGCTCTTGAAGAAGATCGTATGAAGCCATATGGTAACATCCAAGAAGACAATGAAAGTGCTGTTTCCGATGGGTTTGTTTTCTGCTATCAATTTTATAAGACACCTAACGTACATTAAAACCCAAGATCACCTAATAATTTGGGTGTCTATCCTTTATTCAGTATAATCAATGTGACAATTCTGCAGTTTGACTCTTAACCAGGGCGTATTTTCCTTTTGCAGCTGCAATTTCGGTCAACCAGCTTATCTTGGGCTAGCAGTTGTGCGTTAAGTACAAAAACCAATACAAAATATTCATTAAGCTATATAGACTGATCGCCATTACTACAGATTTGGAAACAAACAACTAAAATTTTGACAGAGCTTTTGAGACAAACCCCAAACAAATTCCCATGTAGCATGCATATGAAGCCATACCTGTACCTGCCCCCTCCCCTTCAAAATTGGAGCATATGCGTTTCAGTAGCAGAGATATTAATCAACATTGAACTGGGGGGAGGGGGTAAAACGTATCATACACCGTTTGTCAGAGATTGTAGGACTGGTAAGAGAATTTATTATCAATATAGAACTACTTTAAGATTGAGGTATGATATTAGCATTTATTTTTTCAGTTCTCAAGACCAACAGAAAATTATTAGAGGGAGAATACTCGACGAAAGCAAAGCAATGACATTTAACAGACTTTGGACTACGGAGGAGCAAGTTAGTACAGAATGGCTATTATAGTAAAACTTTCAATAAAAGACTCTTGCAACCGACCGGGAAAATGATTTCTCTAAATTTTCATCCTACTGTCAAAGCCTGCGGGGGTAATCCTCTCTGGAAGTGACAGTGTCTTGTAAAAAACTCATTTTGATCATAAACCTGTCTTATAAAAAATATACCGAAAATATGCGTTGTTCCTATATAATATATGCTAAACAATATACCCTGCCCCCATACTATTAACTGCTTGCAAGCATAATTCGAACATGAGCGGAGAGAGGACATTCGCCCAACGCACGTTGTTACCGGCCCTAGATAACAGAAAGAAATATGTTTACTTCTAATTACCCTATCCTGTATAATTTCTTGCTATTGAAGAAGAAAACGTAGATATTTCGAGTGAAAAGTTGAAACATCACTTCCTTTGTTCTGCTGAGCTCATTGAGCGAGCTTCCTCGTGTCTTTCAAGGCCAATTATTGCCAAACGTTATAAGGCCAAACGTTTGGCCAATTATAACAGATGTTTCAAAGCCTATATATTAACAGATATTCTCCCGTCATGTTTTAATTGGTTTGCTAAACGCCCTTTAATTTCATTTCACTGGGTCTGCTTTGAGTGATTAGGCCAAACGTGTAAGTTTATTAGAAGAATTCCTTCAATATATACCTTTAATTGTATGTTAACTATATTTGTACAAAAATTGATTTATAAAAATACATACCTATAAGAATTTTAACAATTGTTCTGTAGGAATATTGTATAATTTAAGTTAAAATGCGTTTGACCTCAACATGACGGATCTATTTTCAAGATGGCTGAACTGGCTCCTAAGCCGTTTGTTTTTCTCATCTGACGTTAAAAGTAATCTTCAGTATTTTTAATCTGCATGCTTGTTTCCCGTAAAGCTTCATATGTTTAAGCATTTTGGCGCTGTTTCCTGTTTCAGTGATTATCCTATAATTCTAAAGTTTACCATGTTGTTTATGACGCACTTGCTATCACTTACTCTCTGATTTTTTACCGATCAATTTGCATTTTAGGAAAAATTAGAAAAACTTCTGCACATCTATCCACCGGAGGATGTTGAAGCAAGAAGATGGGAGAAGATTGCTAGAGCACTCGGGAATAGAACTCCAAAACAGGTGACCTCATTAGTTGATCACCGATAGTAATAACACTGAAGAGCTTGACCTATGCAACTGCTATCAGGGATCCCTATCCCTGAATGGTTTTACCCACCCCCATGGCAAGAAAATCCACCCGACCATATGACCGGGCGGTCGGAGGAAATTCTTCATGAATAAAGTTCTGCAGGAAATTTTTTAAAATACACTCTTGCAAGAAGCATCTTTGTTTCTTTCATGTTCATCGAAAGAAAAAACATGAAGACAAAGGAAATGTATCTTATGTATGTGCCTTGTACAGGTTAAAATGGGTTTTCTACCTAAGCACCTACCTAACAAGTTTTCCGAGGAGCGTCAATTCATAACATCTTACCATGTGACATCAGAAATGAAAAGTACTTTGTCAATTTTAAATGGAGAATAAACACTCGCTATTTTTAAAATGTTGTTAACCTTTGATCCTTTTACTTTAAAAATTTTAATTTTCACAGGATCCTTTTCGATAGCAGTATCATTTATACTGAAAAGGTTATCCTGTATAAATATATTGTATTATTATAATTATTATCAACCCTTAAGAATATTTTTGAAAATTCTTTTTCGATAAAAGTTTACAAATTTTCATCTGGCTTGGGAATCTTTGTTATTATTTTCAGTCACCTAAACAGAAACTGATCTTGTAGTGGAAGTAAAATTGGTTAAGCTTTTATATTTTATAAAACTGGTGACACGTTATTACGGAATTTGACACATGACACTTTCTTCTTTTATCTTCCCATTCTTGCAGGAAATTTAGGCATGGCTTTTGTCTGGTCACAGGAAGGAAAAATTTTTACATGCCCTGCCCACCCCCCTGATATTCTCTGCAGTCCTTCAATGCCATACCCATATTAATGTTTTTGGCAGTTTGGGCATTTAGTCCTTGCTCAGCATTTTCACCGGACTTTTTACCATTGCACTCAAATTAATCTGAATTTGTGCAAAAGTTCGACAAGCGCTGACCAACATGAATTGTTGGAATCGCCTGAGACAAAAGAGACTGCCAGTAACTAAAATTGAAACAAAGAGCTCCAATTGAAGCATATTTCTTTCATGTTCTTGTTGACATTCCTCTTTACAAACTTCAAAAATACAAAAACAAAGCTGTTACTTTGAAAGTTATGGTTTTAATCATTTATCAATTTGTCTTAAAGCGATCAAGGGCATGTTAATAGAATTTTTGAAATTTTGCAATCAGTAAGTTGTCATTTGATGGTTTAGTGGCGGGAAAGGGGATTATGCTTTACAGGTTTAATTAGATGATTTCGTTTATCTTAAGTGCATCCCACTAAACTTCTGTTCACTTTCCTTCTTTTCTGAACTGCAGTTTCCAAAACGAACGGCCAGATGTTATTGTAGATCAAAAGCTTTTTTTATTTTCGGACAATCTTCTTAGCTCCAACAGCGTTTCGTGTATTTAAACGGCCACTACTGTAATGCTTCTTGTTGACTGATCTGAATATTCAAACATCACAAGAAAATGCTGTATTGCAGCAGGAAATCGTGCTTGTTCACGCAAAAGAAAAATCATTTATCGCTGTATATTGTATTCAAGCGATAAGAATCTGTTGTTTATGCAAAAAACATCGAATTGGCCTCTTATGGCACATGACACTCTTCTTTTATCTTCCCATTCTTGCAGAAATTTATGCATGGCGACTTAAATCACCATAAAACACATTTTTGGCAACAGTAGTCGCGCGATTGCAGTTTATATATTCAGTGAACATCAGCGCTATAGCATTAATTTTTTAGTATATCGTTTGTGTGGAAAAGAGTTGTGGGAGCCACTGATGTGCAAGCATTATTCTCAGAAATCCGACCATTCATTCTCTGTTTTCGCAATACTAAGAGATGCTTACGTAGGCATTACATGGGAACTTAACCATTCATTCTGTGTTCTTACGTTTCCTTTCAGAAATCTCTAGGAATGGAAGAATGTTCCTTCCTTATATTTCCTTGTGGGTACTAACGATCAAAATGCCGCTAGGCTGAGGCAAATTAAGCTGCTTTACTTATAATTTTTTGCTAAGAAATTTCTCTGATGATGAGTAATCATTAGCTTTTACATACTAATTTAGATTTAATATCTTGCTCAAAATAAATATTCAGAATATAAGATATATATCAGATATCTTTGTTGTAATAATTTTCTAATTATATAAATTATTTTATGCAAAAGAAGCTTCTCATACTATAAAGTTACAAATTAGTGCAAAAATTGGAAATATAGCACATACGTTGGTTTTTTTTGTCTTACATTCCTTAATTTCATTTTAATTCTATATCCGAGTATTGATATTTACTTTACGACAAACCATAACAATCGTTTAAACGCTATTTTTCAAATTGCCAAGTTTATGTGCCCACATGCACTACTGGAAAATACGTGTCCGTATCTCATTTGTTTGCATCTGTTTTTGTATGGCAGGTTTCGAGCCGGGTCCAGAAATATTTCATCAAGTTGGCAAGAGCTGGTTTACCAATTCCAGGCAGAATCCCCCATTTGACAACCCAAAGGAAGGTAAGATCTGTTTAGCTGATTGATTTTTCAAGCTAAGTGGCTCAGCAAGGCTTTGCTGCACCTCAAGTTTCCATGTAATCACAAAGCTACGGTTTAAGCTAAACGCATATCCTTCACATCCAACGAGCGATGCGTACAAGGACTGTAGAGAGAGCATTTTGTTACCTTTCCGGATGGTCTGAACTTTTGTTTGAGCAAGCGAACCTTTACAGACAGAGATTGCGAAAATTCCACATTAGTGTCAACCTATGAGTAATTTTTAGATTCCTAGTCTGTTGAGCAAAGCGGTCAAATCTTTGATTGGCTGAGAGCTCTGTTCGCTACCATGTTCTAAGCCAATCAGCACACAGGATTCTCACAACAAAATCGCTTCGCAGCTAGAATTAGGCCCATTTTCGCCATTTCAGCTTGTTTTTACCACATTGTCTACAAAAAACTTTGCACGTCTCTACAAAGCGAATTTTCACCTTACTTTTTGTCCAGTTCATCACCATGCGTTGTTATCATTTTTGGAACGTCTTATATTGTCTTTTTTAATATATTCTGAGAACGTATGGAGCTGCCTATTTTTTAATTGGATTTCAAAGATACAGCACAAACGAAGCTACCCACGGCACCAGAGCCACATAAATTCAAGCACGGAAATAGGAGATACAACGGAGATGCGGAGGAGCTACTATCTCCTATGTCTTTACCCGATATTTTGTGGCTCTGGTACCCAGGGGAAAACGGTGCGAAATATATGGAAAGTAGTGAGATTTGATTACTCCTTGAATTCGTTGTTTGAAATACTTTTGTATGCATATAGACTCTATAATCTCTTTTTAAAGAAATTTTTTATCAATCATTGTATGTTAGTTTCTTTAAATAAATTCTTTTTCGGTATATTATCATAGAATTAACTCACTCGTGAGGTGATGGATTTGCAATGAACAATTTAAGGCAATGTTTAATCCATATAATTTTTTGCTGTTCTTTTTATAACAAATGGTTAAGTATAAAAAGCACCAAACTAAGTTATTATTAAAACCATTTAATAAAAAATAATCATCTTATTATCTATTGCAGTCGAAAATGAATCCTGTGAGCTACCGAAATTCGACATTTTTCCCATCATGGAAGCCAAGCGTGTACATGAATGATGATGATGATGATGATGCTTCAAGTGTCACCACAATGCAATCGGATGATACCCCCTACCCATCTGTAAGTTTATTTTCATTTGCATACCTCTTTGTCTGCGATTTTATTCTAAACTGTTGCGTCTCTTTTGATCATAAATAAATTTTCTGCACAGTTTTGTTTTTAAGTATCAATTTGTTTATGGACATTTATGTTCTCAACTGTCTGCAGTGGAAGCACTTTACAAACGCTCCAGCACATGAATACTTCTGTTTCAAATAGGCTTTACATTACACGGTATAATGAGTGAAGTCTCAATTTTCTTTTGTTGTTTTTCCTTAGACAAGAAGTGTCACATATTAATACAAGTAGCACAAATTTTCTTTCGTATTTAAAATGTGAGATGTGATACAAGTTATAAGATGAAATGTCATTAGTTTTTTAATCACTTTTCAAATGTTGATTTGGACACTATTGTGCCTTTCTTAAGCTTGACTTAATTTTAGTATATATAGAATATTCGTACTCAAAAGAGTTTTATTTATATTTATGTTGGAGATACCTGGCAGATACCTTGATTTTACAACATGGTTTGAAAATTCAATGACCTAAGAAGCTGTAAATAGCCATGCTACTGAGATTAGACTCTACTCCTTTAAACTGCAATATCAAGCAATGACCTGTGAGTAACTGTGATTTGAGGATCCTTAAACTTCTTCTTGTATTTTTTGCTGGTTTGAGTTTGTTATAATTGAGTTTGTTTCTATAGATTGTAATAATAATAATACTTTGATAATCATAACAATCATAATGTCTGTTGTTTTTAAGGCTTTTGTCATACTACTTTCGTTCCTTCAGGACGAAGAAGCTATTTCTTTCGATTTAAAAGATTCAGCAGAGTATAAAGAACTTATGAACTTGAAAAGATTGCGAAAAGAATACAAAGAGGTAGCTCAGTTTTTTCTGTTATGATTCAGTTTAGATTTTTTATTCTTAGACCTACTGAGGGAAGGGAGATTTTGCACTGAATATTTGAAAAGTGTCCGTTTTGAAGTTATGGGATATGAAATTGCCTCAACGGCGTTTTGTGAAGATTATTTTCACAACAGGAACCAAACGTGGCTGGCCATTTGGCGTGATAGATCTAGAAGGCACGGAACCGATTTTTGCAATAGTATAATATCTTAAAATATCAGCAATGGCGTGTTTACCATGGTGTAGCCTGTAAGATACAACGCAAAAAAACGAAGAACTTGTTCACTTTATGTTTGTAGCTGAAAATCTTATTTGTTCTATATTTTTTATCTTTTTAAGGGTTTATTTCATTGCTGCTCGTGTGGCATAAAGCCAATAAAAGGGCCCCGATGGTACTGTATAGATTGTCCAGATGATGTTCCGTACAATATTTGTAGAGAGTGCAACGAAAGGTGAAATGGATTAATTTTTATAAATTTTGTTCATGTGTAGCTTTAATGTTTCTTGTCATTTCAGGCTGGTTTTGTTAAAGCTTATTGTTTTATTATATTTGATCTACTTGTTTTGTTTATCTTTCAAAACATATAAACATGCCTATTTTATGTGAAACGTAGGATTTTTTATGTTGCATTTAATCCTAATGCAACTGTTCTGTTGTCATATAAAAAAAGGAAATTTGTTGTAGGATAAAATGCGATTTAGGGTTTTTCTAATCTTGAAATTACATAATAAGGATCACATTCTTTTTATGTAAGAACCAGACAATTTTTGCTGAAGCTCATTGTTCTTATAAAGTTTGAGGCTCGTGTTTTCTTAATGTAGTTCTTATTTCCACTTTTCTTGTTCTACATCTACATGTTATACGCTGTTTCTAAAACAACTGAATGGCATTTTTTCAATACCTTTTTAGTGGCATAGCAGATAAGCTGTAAAATCTGTTTTGTTTTGTTTTGTTTTGTTAACATGAGAGAAAATTCTCAATTAAACGCATTGTTTTTTTCTAATTTTTCATCTGAGGCTTGTCATTATATTCTTAAGCTGGTCTTATTTTTTGACTAATCGAGCCTTGGTGTTCATATAAGGTGTGCTCTTTTAAAAACATGGTGTGTACTGTAAACCCTGATGTAATACGATAAAAGTAACCCACCCTTAATCTGTAAGAAACATTAATCTTGTAAGTCAGCTTGTTACCTAATGTTTTTTCTTTACTTCCTTACGTCAAATGACTTTGCTCATAAGCAAGTTACTGCTAACAAAACCACATCACTCTCTGTAAGGGAAAATACAAAACTTGCATTATCACTGATCTAAAACGCTTTTTATTTATACTTGTATAACTAATATTTATTTTTCATTGCTCAAAAGGGGAGTTTCTCCATTATCTGCATCGTTTGTAAAGTGATTTTTAATTATTTAACAGCAAGCAATCAAAAAGTGCTAAAATATTTTGCCTCTTATACAAATCTTACACAATTAGAACCTTCCTTTAAAGATCACACGCTTGTTAAAAGGTGGTTTCCATTGACATCCGCTTAATGTTAACAGGCTTTTGACGTTTCCACGAGTCAATACATAGATTTAGTTAAAAGTTGCTATATTGAAAAATGCGTCCCTAAAATCACTTATTTATAAGGATGCAATCTTGTTATTAAAGACACAATGTCGTTCTTTGATATCAGTATACCCATGAATTTTTCTTCAGGCATTCAGGTTCGGCATTCAGCCTCGGCATTCTAGCTGCCTTCTTACTTGGCTGCACATTAAATTTTGTAATTTCGTTATTATTGTATATCGCTCTCTACATAAGATGTATCTTCTTCCATTGAAATTTCGTAAAATGATCATCCTAATGTTTGCTTTGTATTCTAGGAATGCACATATATTTACCAACACCCACTCAACAACACATCGGGTTGTTCTAGCAGAGAAAAGTCAATCATTTATTGATGGAGACTATACGAACTTTGAACTGCAAGAGGGAAAATACAACTACCTTGATCCAAACTTTAATCCAAGATGACGAAAGCAATTCATCTCAAATAGAGTTATGTCGATGTTCCTGATGGGGACAACAATGACTTTTAGTTGCCTCACTTTCCCCTACATGTCAAAGGAGCGAGGCTAAATTGCCAAAGACTGTAGCAGATAAGAATAAGAAATACTTTCTGGTTAGAATATCTTAATGAATATGTAAAACGTAATGTGGTTGCAGAAAATTTCATGACTGTCTTTTATTGGCTTTCTAAAATAGGCACTTATCACAGTTGTATCTTCCTTTAGAAATGTATTTCTTGTAATATTTCTGGGCTGCGAAGTATCCTGTTAATTTCAATGATAACTACCAATGTAAGTTGGGTGTCAAGACTCGACTAGTGTGCATTGGTAAAGCTGACTTGCCCTGGCAACAGGGATTGTATACTGGATCATTTTGTAAGTATTCCCCCCCCCCCCCTCTTTCCTCCTACCAAAGCCAATCACGTATCTCGAGATCTTCTGTCAGCGACGCTCTTTCCATTTCGCAATATAATTCGCAATATAATCTCAACTTTTCCCAAATCTTGACCAGGAATTCTAAGTGCAAAGACAGAAGTAGCATTATATATGGTTAGGCAGACTTATCGTGCTATATCCACTTATCATTGTTACAAAGTCTATATCCTGAAGTGGCCCTTAAATAAAGCATGTCTTATTACATCAATCATATGTTGTATACAACATTAACATTAAATTAAAAAAATACACATAGCAATATTCGCATTTCAAAGGTTTAAGTTCAAAGGTTTAAGAACAACTACATTTTGAACATGCTTAAAAATCTCTGAGATGAAAAAATCAAGTGGTCGTAATCGTGAGCGCTTTCGGAAGTAATGAAATATGGTAACAATCTATTGGGTGAAAAAACACAAAAAAGTGACAAGAGCAGCAACAGCCCAATTAGAGCTTGAGATGATTGTCGAAGAAGTAAAAGAAAGCGGCTTTACTGAAGCTGGATCTTGTTTGATGCCACATTTGGCATCATACCTCAGAATTTGAAGATGGCACAAAATAGATGAAACAAAGCATACTGAAATATTTTTCGTCTGACACTCTCTTCAGAGTATAAAAAACGTCAGATAATGAACGAAAGTAAGCACAATAAACCATTCAAAACTGAAGCTAGTTTTGAATGATGCAATGGTTCGAAATTTTTCTCGCTTCTTTAATGGCACTAATTGATTTTGATAAGTTTTGCTTTTACATTACCATTAAAACATGTGTTCTTGTCACGAGGTCTCTTGCACTGATGAATAAG